TAACTTAGGTGTCGTAGTTCCGGTCTTGTGGTAGGTTAGTCCGATCGTCGGGGTACTGACGAGATAGTGAAGTGCACGGTCGAGTTCCAGCATGTGTTCTGCTTCAGGCTTCTTAAGGTAGGTGGCGAGTTGACTAGCTGAGTAGGATAGATCCGGTCGGCAAGTAACGGCTGCAAAGAGTAGGCTGCATAACTTTTGTTGGTAGTCACGAATGCCGGCAGGTTTGAGTAGGGCGAGAGCTTTGCGATTTCCGTCGGTGTAGCGATATGGTGTGGAGATGCCGGTTGGAGTGAGTCCGAAACGTTTAGCGATAGTGTCAGTGTATTTTTCGGCGCTGAGGTAGATTGCATTGTCGTCGTCTTGAATGTTCAGTCCCAGGTACTGTGTCACGGTAGTTGTGACGGTGAGTGTGAGGTCCTGCTGCAGCTCCCCTTCAAACCAAGTTGTTGTCTCGTCGGTAGAGCCTATGTAGAGGAGGTCGTCCACGTAGACGATGAGTAGGATATAGTCAGTACCCTTCGTACATCCCTTGGTCTTGCGGTAGTTGGAGGAATCCGATGTGGATTAGGCGGGCGTGGAGATGCTGCTGCCACAGTCTCGGGGCTTGTTTGATGCCGTGCAGTGACTTTTCCAGCTGACAGACTTGGTTGGGGTCTGCGTTAGATCCGTGTGGGAGTTTGACGAAGATCTCAGCATCGACAGGGGCGTAGAGAAAGGCGTTGGCGACATCGATTTACCGAAGCTTCTTCCGGTTCATGGCGGCTATCGCGAGGAGAATCCGCAGTAAGGTATGTCGGCTAACTGGTGCAAATGTTTCCGTGAAGTCTCGTCCTTGCTCTTGGTCGAAGCCACGCATGACCCAGCGTGCTTTGAATTTGTCGATTGTTCCGTCGGCTTTTGTTTTCACGCGGAAAACCCATTTTCCCGTGAGAATAGTCTTGTTGCGTGCCACTCCGATAGGCACAACTTTCCAGGTGTTGCGTTCTTGCAGCGCCTTTAACTCTCTGTCCATGGCTTCACGCCATTTTTCTTTGTGTTCCCCCCCCAGAGCCTGCTGAATATGGCAGGCTCCTTAGTCGGTGCTACTCCGTGGACAGTGGTGACGAGTCCCAGTATCTCCAGTCCACTTTGTGTGTAGCGGGGGAGATTTGCGTCTTCGGGATAAGCTGCTTCATCTCCTGCTTCTGGATCCGGTAAGAAATTTGGTCCTATGCGTTCGGAGACGTTGGTGTCAACTGGTTAGGGTGTAACGTAACCGGTGTCGGCGAAGTCGAAGTAGGTTTCGGCGTTGACACTTTCGCAAGGGTTTTCGTCATCCATCGGGATGGGCACGGAGCAATACGGGAGAGGTCCGGCTTCTTCCGAAGCTCTGTCCACGTTCTGCTCGTCCCAGTCAGCTTCGTCTGCTGCTGAAGCGAAGGCTCGGTTGCCACGGAAGCCGCCCGTGAGGTCTCGATGTGCTGCCAGGTTGTCCAGGTATGTTTGAAGTGTGAGTCGCTCGTAGAAGATGACATCACGTGCTGCTACTGTTTCCTTTGAGTGGACGTAAAAAATCTTCGATGCGTTGTAATGCTTTTCGATGCCCAGGTGTAGCCCCCACTGTGCGCGTTGTGAAAATCTTCCGGCTCTTGCAGTGTGCGGTCGGTACTGTACCATGCACCCAAAGACTCGTAACATTTTTGTATCGCCCAGTTTTCCGGTCCACAGCAGGTGCGGTGATGCGTTGTTCGGTTGTGACGATGACGAGAGCAAGTTGTGCAGCATTACAGCGTGGTCCATTGCCTCAGGCCACTGGTGGCTGGGCAGTCGCATGCCACACAACAGTTTGCGCATGGTGTTCTGGAGAGTTCTGTTCATCCGCTCTGCCACGCCTTGCTGTTGATGGGCGTAGGGAAGCGAGATGAGTCGCTTGATGCCTCGTTCTGCGAGGTATTGCCTGAACCTTTGTGATTGTTATTCCCCTCCTCCGTCTGACTGGAAGCTTTTCAGCTTTGCTTCCGATTCTCGTTCTGCCACACGTAGCCAGGCGACGAAGGCTTCGAAAGCCATGTCGCGACTTGGGAGATTGAGATGCCAGACATAACGGGTGGCGGCGTCGATGAAAGTAATCACGTAGTTATATGCTCCTTGTCCTTGTTCACGAGTATACAGGATGTCGCTGTATACTTTCTCAAGTGGTGCGTAGGCTGGCGTGCTTGGATTGTGGGGAGGGACAAATTGTTGATGAGGTAAGTCGGCTTCGGGGCACGTAAAGCATGTGCCTCGAGCTCGTTGGAGTTCTCTGCCGTCGGGTAGGAGTGAGTCTTTGTCGATTATAGCCGCCTTGATTGTGTTCAACGTGGTGTTGCTTGGATGACCTAATCGTTCGTGCCACTGTGATTCGCTTGCACGATGTCCGGGTGAGCGCCTGTACAGGTCGGAGTTGGAGTAAAATCACGCGGTGAAGTTGGCGCTTCTGTGAACTTCGCGTGGAGTGGGAGCTAACTGCTGCGCAGGAGTAAGTGGAGTGTCGTCGATGAGAACTTGTGCCGTTGAAGAGCTCGCGATTGGTGCCGTAAGTGTTGCTGCTCCTGTCGAAGTTGTCTCCGCTGCTGTTGATGTTGTTGCTGCTGCTGATGTCGATGTTGTCTTTTCTTGCCGGATTGTTGCTAATGCCCTTGTTCTTTCTGCTTCAGGTATGGTATGTGAATACCAAAATCCTCCAGGACTGAAGTCGGGATCGAGGTCGGGTGGATGTGTCCAAGAAGCGAAGTTGACGATGGCGTCGCTGTCGGCGGTACCTTGGTCCGGGACGAAGTCAAGAACGAAGACGTTGTTTTTTAAGACTGCCCTGCCGATGTAGAGTCCGCCCTTTCCGTGGAATAGCTTGAACTCCTGAGTGGTGCTGTCTGCTTCGAGATGAATGCCTTTTGCCACCAGTTGGCTAACGCTGAGTAAGTTGTAGCAGAGTCCTTCTGCAATCAATACTTTTGACATTTGTAGAATGATGTTAGTTTCTCGAGAATGAAGTTGTACGATCCCTTGTCGTCGTGTGTGCAGATTCTGGTTGTTGGCGACGGTGATTACAACTTCGCTCTGAAGTTGATGTTCTTGTTGAACGAAGTGACCTGAGGAGCACATGTGCTGTCCGTAGCAACTGTCCAAGAACCAAGTGTCTTTTCCGGACGGCTCGCTCTGGGCGATGGCTGCATACGTTGGGTTGGGCTCCAGTGATTCGCGGCGAGGAGTGCGCTCATCGAGTTGTTCTTCTTGTGAGTAGTGGGGTGGTGATCTGGTGATGCAGGAGTCTGTCGTTCTTGTCATGCAGCTCACGATGTTTCTTGTTCCTTGTGCAGGTTTTGTCGTTGGAGATGTTGAAGTCTGCACTTGATTGATGGGATGCGCTTGTGTAGAAGCTACTTGACTTCTTGAAGGCCGAAGTTGACGTTGTGCCGTCGTCGACTGCTGCTGATTCGGGCAGTGTGTGCGTGGATGTCCGGACGTCTTGCTAAGATGACAAAACGGTGGGACGTTGTACTTGTCGGTTGTTCTTGCTGTTGTAGCGACGTTGAGTGTGAAAAGCGAATTCTGGTGCTGACGCTTTCTTCTTGTGTCTTTCTTCGTGCAGATCCATATCCTGCTATTCAGCGTGAATTTCGGCGCACAGTGCTGCTTCAGAGATTTTCCCGTGAGCTCGAAGGAGTGCTCGAGTGGAGCGCCAATGAGGACCGAGGCCGGCGATGATGACTGTTACGAAGGCTTCTTCGGATATTGCTCCTCCGCATCGAAGGAGTTTGTCGCGCAATCCGCGACAACGGCTGATATACGCCATTCCCTTTTCGCCGGGTTTCATTTCCACAGTTGTCAGCTGTGCCATGAGACGACTTTGATTAACACCGTCTGTTGCTTGATATAGGCTCTTCAGGTGGTCGTATGCCACTTCGGCGGAGTTGCCGTCCAATGTCTTCTCTTGTCCAGGTGAAGACTGCGGTTGTGGCGCAAAGCTGATGGGGCCACGTTGAGGCTCGTACGGAGCAAAGGTGGGTTGCTGCTGATTTCCGCGCGCATAGGATGAACCGTCAAGGCTCATCGGTGTTGCTCTGTTGTTGTTGTCGCTGTTGTTTGATTGTGCAGGAGCTGCTTGCTGGTGTTGCTCGTAGAAGGACATGAAGGAGAAGAACTTCTCCATCATGTTTGGGTCGAAGCCTGCTACTTGGTTCCCGGGAGTTTCGGTCGACTCCGCAGCTGGTCTTGTTGCTGTGCCTTCCTCTGTCTGCAGGCCAGAGGCTGGAGGTGGAGTAGGAGTAGTGCTGAGTGATCCGTTAGAGGAGCTCCTCTCCTTCTGTGTTGCCATGTCTTGCGTTGTCGTAGAAATTTTGGAAATGGATCTTGCCCTGTTTGCTCTCATACCCTGTTGGGCTGAGAAAAGCCCTTAGGATCTTTCAAGGCTAAGATCTAGGTTGAAATAGGAATGTTGTAGTTGCGGAAGCGTTTTAATATCAGAGTTGCTGAACCACCTTGTACTAGTGTGTGAGAACAAGATAAGTTAATTAATAGCAAAGAGATACAAGCTTTTTATATGATTACAAAGGAATATGATGAGTTTTATTTTAACTGTTTTTGCTGTTGCGGTTCGATACAGTGCCGACTCGGGTAACTGCTCAGTATCGAGTCAGTTATGTGTCCTTGCTGTCGCACTGTACTTTTCGTCGAGTCAAAGGTCAGCGACCTTTGGCCTTCGCGTAAGCTCCAGCGGTTGCTTTTGTTGACTCGTGTGTTTCTTCGCTGTAGTCTGCTCCGTTTCGTGTCGATACTTCGATACTTCAGAAGCGTTTAAGTTATTTGTTTCCAACAACATTCACATACTTTACGCGAAGCAGCACGCACCACCAGTTGCCATTGCAATCCTTTTCCAATGCATTGTGAACACAAGTGAGGACCGCTGAGTGTAACAGAAGACTACGCAACCAGCAACCAATGCAGCAGATCATGAACATCAGCCCCTAGTGAGCCAACAGCAGCTACAGGCAGTGCACATGTGCAGATGAGGCACACACCTTTCTAATGGATGCTGAGAGAGACATGGGAGGGGCATACAGGCATGGGTAATAGGTCCGGTCCAGAGAAGCAGCTATGGGCAGAGCCGCCCCTAGGGACAGAGGAGCAGGAACTGACAGAGTAGCGGGAACCGGCAGAGTAGCAGGAACCGGCAGAGTAGCAGGAACCGGCAGAGTAGAAACCCCCACGAGCAGAGCAGCAGCGGCTAGGGGCAGAGCAGGGCGGACATGAGAGTGTCGTGGATGACTGGGTCGTTCACCTGTGGGAAGACTCGCGCCTCGATGGCTGGCAGCATTCGCCACACCTGGTGGTGCCGGGAGGTGCAAAGAGGTGCAGGGAGGTAATGTTGAGCTGAAGGGGGGTGCAGTGAGGTGCAGGGAGGTGCAGGGAGCTAACCTTGAGGTCGAGGGGGACAGAGAATAGGAATGAGAATCATGTAATGCATATGATCGCAGGCCAGCATGCCACCTCCTGTGCCAGACTAACACACTGGTTGGCTGTGGTAGGGGCGGCACAGTGGGCACATGTGCACCAGCACACAGCACATCCAGTCGCTTTGAGTCAACTCGTTAGACATTTCAACTGCCACACCCAGCCTGGCTGTAGCATCTCAACCTGCCATAACCAACTTAACACACCTGCGGGCTGTGGTAGCGGCACAGCGAGCGCATGTGGCCCAGCACACAGCGCATCCACTCCTTCTCCCCCGCCGCCTTGAGCCGCCTCTTGTGCCCCCGCTCCTCCTCCTCCTTCCTCCTCTCCTCCTCCCTCTTCCTCCGCCCTGCCAGTCTCCTGGAGTCACCGCAGGGACAGCACATCGAGGAGAGGAGAGAGAAAAAGAAGGTAAATGAGGGAGAGGCGGGAACCGAGGGAAAGGGATAGGGAAACACTGGAGTGCCTTCCAGATCCTGTGTCCTCCCGAATCCCCTGTGTTCTCCAGGCTCTAGCGGCTGTGGGAGTTTCTGTCCTCCCACAGTCTCTACAGCTTGTGACCCCTCTACAGCTTGTGGCCCCTCTACAGCTTGTGACCCCTCTACAACTTGCAACATCGCTAGAGCTTGTGACTTCCCATACTCAGCACCATTCTAACAGCATCATCCCGTTTCCACCACCTCATCCGCACCCCCCTTTTCCTCTCTTCCCCCCTCCCCTCCCCCCCCAACTTTTATATTCCTCCACCCCCTGTCATCCCCCCCTCTTATGTGCCCTCACCTGTCACTGCCACCATCCCCGCCCTCCTCTCCATCCATCCCCGCGTCGTCCCCCTCATCCTCCTCCATCCTCTCCTCCTCCACCCTCCTCGCCTCCTCTTCCTCTTCCTCCCGCGCTGCTGCCTCAGCCACAGCAGCCCGCCGATTGTTGACGGCCGTAGCGAAGTGAAGCAAAAGAGCAATGAACAGGGCCTGGGGGGAGGAGGGGAGCAGGGATGGGAGTAAAGGAAGAGGAGAGAAGAACGAGGAGGAAGCATGTGTCAAGGTGCTACGTCAGCCATAGCAGCCCACCGATTGCTGACAGCTGTAGCAAAGCGGAGCAGCGGCGCAATGCCTTGAGACGTCTCAAAACACTTCTTCTTTCACGAAGCAGCGGCGCAATGAACAGGGCCTGGAGAAAAGGAGGGGGAGGAGGGATGGGAGCACGGGACAAGGGAGGGGAAGCAACGCCTGAGTCAAGGTGCTGCCTCTGCCACAGCAGCCCGCCTGTTGCTGACAGCCGTAGCACAGTGAAGCAGCAGAGCAATGAACAAGGCATGGGGGGAAGAGGTAAAACGGGGAGCGAAGCACAGCGGGGGAATGAGCGGCAGGGCGGCAGGGGAGGAGATTGAGTGGGAACGGAGAAGGAAGGAAATGTAACCCCACCTCATGTTTCCTTCCGCCTGAGGCGCCTCAAAAGTAACCCCACCTCATGTTTCCTTCCTTTTGAGGCGCCTCAAAAGTAACCCCACCTCATGTTTCCTTCCTTTTGAGGCGCCTCAAAAGTAACCCCACCTCATGTTTCCTTCCGCCTGAGGCGCCTCAAAAGTAACCCCACCTCATGTTTCCTTCCGCCGAATTTTGGTGCCGTAAACCATAAGGGTTGATAGAGATGGAAGTGGGAGGAGGGGGGAGCAATGAGTTCTCCAAGCACCAACTCATTGCTTCCCCTCCCACCCGTTTCCCATCTCATGCACCTTCCAATTACGCCTGCTTCTCCTCCTCCTCCACCACCTCCTCCACCGCTCTCATTCAACCCTCTTCTCTTCTTTCTCCTCTTTCTTGCTGCTCCGCTGCTGGTGCTTTTGATGCCCAACCCAACTCACCGAACCCAACCCATCTGCACTGCTCTCCTCTCACCTGCTCCTCCTCCTCGGCCTCTCGCCTCGTCCTCTCTTTGCCCTCCACCGCTGCTGTTGCTGCCTCCGCCTCCTCCTGTGCCTTGCTGCTCCGATGCTGAAGGGCAGAGAGAGGGGTAAAAAGGGGAGAGAGGGGTAAAAAGGTGAGAGACAGCAAGCGTGGGAATGGCAGAACAAGAGGTGCAACTGCCGCCTTTGCCTGGTCCTCACAGTACACCGCACCTATCCCCACCTATCCTTACCGCACTCCACACTACACCGCACCTATCCCCACCTAGGGATGAGCAAATTCACGAACGCCTGTTCGGTTCGCCTCGAACATGTTCGAGGCGAACCGAACAGGCTTTTTTTTCGCCTAATTCGTTCGGGGCGAACGTGTTCGGTGTTCGGCCGAGCACGTTCGCTGTTCGCCTACGACCTTTGGCCGCGGGATGTCGAACACGAACATGTTCGTGTTCGACTTTGGGGGCCGACGAATACCAAAGTGTTCGTGTCAAAATTGGCCGCGACCAAATTTAGGTCGCGGCCGTTTTGAGTTTGAGCTCATTTCTTGAGCTCAAACTCAAAACAACTTTGGCGCTTAGCCCTCCCTCCCACAACCGCCATAGCCTTGCGGTTTTAAGAGCCACCGCACACCGTTCCTGAGCTTTTACACTGACATTTCCTCTAATTAGTTTGTAGTTAAGGGTAAGTTCGTCAACATTAAGCTTGGTAGCTAGAGGATCAAGCTTAGAGCGGTCAATTCTATTGTTGTAGGGGCGGGCTTTTCTCCGTGCCGCACGTAACTAAGAGGTCAAATAGGACCGTGCTATCCGTGGCACGCGACCATTACTTTGGGGTTTTAGGGTTTTAGGGCCGAGGGTGGAGTTATGGCTTCCGGCCAACAAGATCTGCAGAACGAGGTGCAGGCATTAGTCAGGGCGGTACACCAGGTTCTCTACAACGACCTATGCAGGGGCGAGTAGGGGACGGACCGGTGCTTGTTTCGTCGGGGGGTTTCTTTCCGTAGCGGGGCCGACATCCCGTCACTCGTTCCGTTACACTGGCGGTCGACCCCCTCTTTCTGGGCAGATGCAGACGGAGAGAGGCAGTGAGGAGGAGGATGTGGAGGAGGAGGGTGAGGGCGAGGAGGATGAGGACGATGAGGGGAGCGGGGATGACAATGAGGCCGGGTGGGATCCCGAGATGCATGGCGGTGGGGAAGGGGGGGTGATGTTGAAGACCACGAGATGGATGGGTTGGAGCCAGAGGAGGTGGAGGAGGTGGAGGAGGAGGGAGGTGGGAGAGGGTGGTGGAGAGGCGGCGACAGAGGCGGCCTCACAGCATGTGGCTGAAGGAGGAGGGAGCGTGGGGGTTAAGGTGGGGAGAAAGCGGGCGTCCATTGCGGGGCCGAAGCGGAGGAAGAGGGCGAATAAGTTGAGGCCGCGAGCGTATCCCTGCACATTCATTGGGGAGCCCTTGGGCGAGGGTGCGATCGCCACAGAGTTCCTTGACGAGGACGGAGGGTCCGAGAGTAGTAGGGGGACTGGCAAGGGTAATAAGAAACCGGGGTGGCAAGTACAGATGTTCAGGACTAAAGGGTCAGACGACAAGCGTCAGTGCAAGATTTGCACTGACAGGATTTCGTAGAGGCAATCCACAACAACACCCGGCGAGCGTCACTTCGAGAGCTTCTACACAGCTCACATGCACGTGTGGTATCACCGTTTCATCACTCCCAGCGTTCAGTTGCCTGGCGAGACGTTTCCTCGTGGGGGCTACAAGGGTGTGCCGGATGGCTACGTCGATAAGCGGCCGCATGCCAAGTGCTGGCCGAACCTCGCAAAGAAGCTTGGGAAGGTGTCCGGGGGAGCTCAGGGGTCAGGCGGGATCGAGCGGTTCATGACAACCAAGCTGTCCACGGTGGAGCTACGGCAGGCGATCGCCAAGCTGGTGGTCACCTGCGACCTCCCCTTCCGCATCGTCGAGTCTGAGGCGGTGAGTGTCACATGCATGCTGTATGAGGGGATTGGGCAGTTTGTGGTGGACTGTTTCGAGTTTCTATTGTACAAGTGTGCCAATCCGTCTCCAATCCATCCCCTTGCCGTTGACCGGGCCTTTCTCTCATTGTCTCCACCCCCCTCCAGTTTCGGGAGCTATTGATCCTGCTAAACCGCAACTGCGCGCAGAAGAACTTCATCCCCTCGCGCTGGACGGTATCCCGTGACACCGTGGTCTTTGCAGCAGCCACTCTCCAGTCCGCCATTGCGGAGATGCTGGCGAAGGAGGGGGAGTTGGGGTGCAAGGTGTCGTTCACCATCGACATGTGGACGGCACCCAACGGCAAGGCATGGCTAGTGGTGACGGGTCACTGGATAGACGAGAACTTCCAACTACGCACAGGGTGCTTGAGTTCCGCGAGATGCTCGGGCGTCATGGAGGCAAGGAGATGACACAGGTGGTAGAGGAGACGGTTGTGCAGTGGGGGTTGGAGGGGCGTTGTCTTGGTTTCACGACAAACAACGCCTCTAGCAACATTGCCGCCTTCAGGCGGATATCGGAGGAGGGTGGTGGTCAGTGCTTCTTCAACTCGCGCATGCACTTCCGGTAAGTGTGGGAGTGTGCGTGGGTTGGGTGTGTGGGAGTGTGGGTGTGTGTGAGCCTTTGTGGGTGTGTCGATCCACCCTAGACAATGTGTGGGTGTATGGGGGAGTGGGGCGGTGCGGTTCGAGTTGGAGGGTGTGTGTGGTCTGGTATGGGTTTGTGGCTTGCACTGACCATCCTAGCACTTCACCTTCTCTTTGCCACTAATGTTGTGTTCCGCGCGCAGGTGCTTGGCACACGTGATAAACCTTGCAGTGTAGGCGGCGCTGTCTATGGATGCCATACGGAAGTTGTTGAAGATACTGAGAGTGATGGCATCATGGATTGGATTCTCGCCGCAGCGCTCGGGGTCTTTCTTGGGCCTCCAGCGGACCTTGAACACGCAGGCTAACCCCGCCAAGCCGAAGCCAGCGTTGAAGCTGGTGCAGGACAGTCCTACGCGCTAGGGGTCGACCCACGATATGCAGAACCCCATCACAGTCCTCTTTGCTCAGACACAGGTATGACATGTGGTGTGTGTGGGTTTTAATGTGTGGGTTTGTCAGGGTGTGTTAACACTTCCACTCAATGCTGCTGGTCAAGCTTGTATGTGGCGGGAAGCCATAATCCTCCATAACCCCATCTTCCCTCTTACCTCCCCCCAAACCATACCCTCTACCCGACAGGGCTTGTCGAAGGTCGACAAGAAGAAGGTGGAGAGCATGCGCCTGACAGACGCAGACTGGGAGATCCTGCAGGCTATGAAGTCATTCCTCAACCCCTTCGCCAAAGTCTCAAAGGCAGTTGAGGGGGCAGCGTACCCGATAGTGTCGATGGTGGTGTCGTACTACAACGGCCTCATCGACGCCATCGAGTCGCGCCTTGCCAAGGGGCCATCTGCGACGCTGCAGCCGATGATTGTGGCGACGCTGGCCCACTTGAAGAAGTACGCCTACATCACCAGCAACGAGTACTGGATCGCCACCTTCTCGGACCCATCCATGAAGGCGGCATGTTTCGACGACATGCACTGGGAGAAGCTGCATCCCGAGACCGACAGGAGGGTGAGGCCGCGTATCGCGTCTGGCGAGGTGATCAAGCTGGTACGCGACCGCGTGGCCGAGTACCAGGCCCGGGCTGCAGAGGTGGCTCCCCGGCCGACCCCACTTGCCTCCGTTGCGGAGGAGGAGGGAGATGAGGGGGATGACGACGATGACGCCCAGTTTCTCCCTAGTCGCCGACGACTTGCGGCGCGTCTGTCGGCGAGCCAGGAGGCCGGGGGGGGTGGGATGGTGTAGGATGGCCAGGTTAGCAGGTACTTGCCCGAGAGGGTGCGGTACGACGTACTCACCACCAACATGCAGACGCTGAGGCGCATGGCCCGGGATTATCTCGCCATCCCTGCCACGTCCGCTTCGAGCGAGCGCGTGTTCTCTCTTGGTCGCAACCTCATCTCCTCGAAGCGGCACCGCCTGGCCTCTCAGAGGACGCGAGCTGTCATGATTCTCAGATCATGGTACAGTTCACACCCTGGCCAGAGGATCGGCGAGGGCCGCCGACCGAGAGGAATCGCACCACCAGAGTTCGCCATTGAGGGCGAGGAGGCGGAGGAGGACGGCGAGGAGGAGGAGGGGGTGGAGGCAGACGCAGCTGGTGGAGAGGATGCTGTTGTTGGTAGTAGTAGTGGCGCCATGGCGTAGGAATTTGTTTGACATTGACATTTCCCTACACAGAACATGATGTTGTAGTGTTGGCGCGTTGCATGAACACATATACACCCTGCACCCCCTTTGCTATCATCCTGCACCCTCAAATTCGTATTCGGACTTGTGTGACTATATTGAATTTCCCCCTGAGTGAACACGAACATGTTCGCCACGAACGTGTTCGTGTTCGCCTGTTGCAGCAATTCGTTCGCCTCCTAGGGCGAACGGAGAACACCTATTTTCACTCAAGTCGTTCGCCGAACCGAACACTGCTCGGTTCGGCAGAAGGCCATGTTCGTGAGGGGGCGAACACGAACATGTTCGAGTTCGCCCCCTGCTCATCCCTATCCCCACCTATCCTCACCGCACCCCACACACCCCCCACCTTGGCCCATTCAGCTTTGGCTGCAGCCTGCGTTTTCGCCTCCTCTCCCTCCGCCTCCTCCTCTGCCAACGTGGCAGCCTCCCATTCGCTGCGCGACTTGCTGGCAGCGGCTGCTGCCACAGCCGACGCCCTCTCAAGCACCGGCACCTCAGCGCTGACGTGGCGCAGGCGATTGGCGGCCTTAGACACGGCGGTGCGGAGAATCTGATTTGGGGGAAGGGATAATGGGGAGGAACGGGGGTGAGGGGGGGAGAGGAGAGGGGGGGGAAGGGTGGGGTGGGAAGAGGGGAGATAAGGGTTTGGGGAGAAGATTGTGTGGATTTCCAGTTGACAGTTGGCGGGCTTGGTCACGGCGGTGCGGAGAGTCTGACTAGGAGAAACGAGGAGTTGAAGGAATGGGGAGAGGAAGTGGAAGGCAGCAAGGGAGGGGGGGCGGGGGGGGTTGATGGCAGAATGAAAGGGAAACAAGGGGGAAGGGAGCACGAGAAGGGGCAGAGAGTGCATACGTCCTGAGTCACAAGTGGAAGAGAAAACGATTTGCCTATCGACTGGGAGTTTTGAGAACGATTAGTTGACTCAAAGAGCCCAGCCAGGATGACTTTTGAGTCGACTGAAGAGGCAGAGAGTGTGTGCGTCCAGAGTCAGGTGTGAAGGAGAGAATGCAGCTGTGCTGCAGCTCAAGCACTCCACTCCACTCCACCGCACCCCACTCCACTCCACCCCACTTCACTTCACTGCCGCTTGAAGCACTTACCTCCCAGATGCGCTCGGAGGTGTGATAAAGTTCGTAATGAGTGGGGAGGAAGCACCAGTCGAGGAGAGCGAGCGGTGAGACGAGGCGGAAGCCGAGGCAGCGATCCACCACCACTGCCGCCATCTGCGGTGCGTTGGCCCACACCGTCCATATGCTGTGCAGCAGCTGCACCTGGGAGGCCTGGGGGAGAAAAGAGGGGCGAGGGGTGTGGGGAAAGTGGGGGGGTGGCGGGTTTGGGGGTTTGGGGTGGCGGGTATGGGGGTTCGGGGTCAATGATGGCATCTGAGGTGCGTTGGCCCACACGGCCCAGATGCTGTGCAGCAGCTGCACCTGGGAGGGCTGCAGTGTGGGGGGAGGAGAGTGGAGGGAGGCGGTCACTCAAGCGAACTGACCTGATCAAGCGCCAGCAGCTGCATCGGCAGTCCGTTTATCTCCTGCACGGTAACCGCATGAGTGATGCTCTTCAACCCCAGCACGAGCAGAAGAACCCCCAAATCAGCACACTCAGCCCCTCCCACCCCAAACCAGACCCACCTGATCAGGCGCGAGCAGCTGCAGTGCCAGCCCGTATCTCTCAAGCACAGTGACAGAGTGAGTGATGCTCTTGGACCCTAGCACCAGCAGGATCTGTCTGAAACACCAGAGCCCCACACAGATCCTGCTCACCTGGTCAGGTGCCAACAGCTGCAGTGCCAGCCCGTATCTCTCAAGCACAGTGACAGCGTGAGTGATGCTCTTTGACCCCAGCACCAGCAGCGTCTGTGCCACCACGTCTAGCGCGCGGCCCTTGTCCCCGCCCACCTTGCCCACCGCCTGCTCCTCCACCCACGCCGCCACCTCCTTGCCTGCCCGCTTCGTCCTCACCATCACTATCACCTCCTCTGCTACCTCCACCGCTGCTGCATCCACCCCCTCCCCATACTGCTGCACTGCGCCTTTTCCGCCGTCCTTCTCCCCGTCCTTCCCCCCTTCCCCGCCCTCCCCATCGCCCCCCTCCTTCATGTCTCGGTCCCCCTCTCCCTCCCCCGCCTTCTCCCCCTCTTTCTTCTCCCCTTCCCCCCCGCCCTCCTTCCCCCCGCGCCCCTCCCCCTCCCCCTCGCCCTCTGCGGGGGCCAGCAGTCTCCCTGGCCCCGCGGCGCGGTTGCGCTTGAACTTGAACACGGGCTCGGGCGTGGGGGGGAGGAGTTGCTCCATCTCTGCAGAGCCCAGAGACTGTCACACGGGGAGAAGAAGGAACAGAGGGCAGAGGGGCAGAGAGCAGAATGATAAAGAGTGGCTCTTGCTCGATTACACCAGCAGTCTCCCCGGCCCCGTAGCGCAGTTGCGCTTGAACTTGAACACGGGCTCGGGCGTGGGGGGGAGGAGTTGCTCCATCTCTGCAGAGCCCAGAGACTGTCACACGGGGAGAAGAAGGAACAGAGGGCAGAGGGGCAGAGAGCAGAATGATAAAGAGTGGCTCTTGCTCGATTACACCAGCAGTCTCCCCGGCCCCGTAGCGCAGTTGCGCTTGAACTTGAACACGGGCTCGGGCGTGGGGGGGAGGAGTTGCTCCATCTCTGCAGAGCCCAGAGACTGTCACACGGGGAGAAGAAGGAACAGAGGGCAGAGGGGCAGAGAGCAGAATGATAAAGAGTGGCTCTTGCTCGATTACACCAGCAGTCTCCCCGGCCCCGTAGCGCAGTTGCGCTTGAACTTGAACACGGGCTCGGGCTTGGGGGGGAGGAGTTGCTCCATCTCTGCAGAGCCCAGAGACTGTCACACGGGGAGAAGAAGGAACAGAGGGCAGAGGGGCAGAGAGCAGAATGATAAAGAGTGGCTCTTGCTCGATTACACCAGCAGTCTCCCCGGCCCCGTAGCGCAGTTGCGCTTGAACTTGAACACTGGTTCCGGCTTGGGAGGGAGCAGCTGCTCCATATCCGTGGAGCCCAGGGACTGTGTAGATGCATGGGAGGAGTGAGGGAACGAGGGGCAACAACGGAAGGAGAGAGAGCTGCTGCTGGATTGCGCTTGAACTTAAAGACCGGCTCAGGTTCGGGAGGCAGCAGCTGCTCCATAACCGTGGAGCCCAGGGACTGGGATGAGGACTTGGGAAAGAGGGGGGGGGGGTTTAGTGAGAAAAGCATGGAGGAACGGGACAGCGCTGAAGTGGTGGCGCGGTTGCGGTTGAAGTTGAACACGGGCTCGGGCTTGGAAGGCGGAGACTGGGATGAGAGCACAGAGGTAGAGGGTGGGGGGGTGGGAAAGAATGGAGGGTGAGGGGAATGCTGCAGTGCTTGCGGTTGAACTTGAACACAAGTTGTTGCTTGGGGGGCAGTGGCCGCTCCATATCCGTTGAGCCCAGGGACTGGGATGAGCGGCATGGTGGGACAAGGTGGGTGGGCTGGGACAGGCAGGTCCCCCTCTCCAGCAATAGGAACAAGCAAGACACAGTCGATTCTGTGCACGCACCTCTCTGATCTTATCATAGTAGGAGAGGCGAATCTCCCTCTTCTCTTCTAATACCTCCGACACAAACGCCCTCTGTCTGTGTGGCGTTCATTCATGTGGGGGATAGTGCACAGGCGACACACCTTGTTCGCGGCACAGGTTACTCTCCGTACCCACCTCTCTGATCTTGTCGTGGTAGGACAGGCGAATCTCCCTCTCCCAGAAAGCACTCTCTCTACAAAGAAGCCCTTGGAGAGAGACACATCTCTACAAAGACGCATGCACAGACGCATGCGGTAGGACAGCATGACGCACAGGAGGCGAGTTGGTACTGCTGTGCATGCACCTCTCATATCTTGTCATAGTATGACAGGCGGATCTCCCTCTCCAGAACCTCCGATACAAACACCCTCTGTGGGGCCCACCTGGAATTATATGGGAGAGACAGCACAGGCGACACCTCCTGATACCCCTTCCACCCACCCTGTCATTACCCGAAGGTTGGTACCTCTCTGATCTTGTCGTAGTAGGACAGGCGGATCTCCCTCTCCAGAACCTCCGATACAAAAACCCTCTGTGGGGCCCACTCCGGCTGACGTGCCACTGCCGCCCACGCCGCCCACGGCCACACAAACGCAAAGTTGGACCTGGGCGGGCGGTACACAACACAGGACAAGAGACAGCAATTCTGAGGCAAGTTGGACCTAAGCTGGTGGCATACAGGACAAGGAATACAGAGAGCGTCAAACAACTTACAAGGGTTTTAAACGTGCAAGGGGGGTGCTTCAGTTCAGGTTGACCCGACCCGGCTTGACTTGACTTGGCTTGACTTCCTAATTTGTAACCTATGAGGAGCTCTAAGAGCACCAGCAGGACGAATAGGCACTCAAGGTTAACTAGTGGGAGACAGACACGTGGAAGAGGACTCACAGATGGTGGGCCAACCACTGGATGACACGTGTCCTGCACTCCACGTCCATGATTGCCGCCCGGGAGAACAACGCCCTCACTGCCCCTGCCAGCACCGCTGGGAAAGCGCCTGGGAGAGCCTGAGGGGGTTGGGAAGTGCGGGCATTAGGGACGGATAGGGAACACCCGGGAGACATGGGTTGTAGTGAAGTGAGGCAAATCACCAGGGAGAGGCTGAGAAAGAGTTGGGGAGTGGAGGTGGAGGTCCTACGCACCTTGTGACAGAGTCAACAGGAAAGCTCATGGCTTACAGCAGTCAACAGAGTCAACGGAGTCAACACACCTTGCAGAGGTCAACGCACCTTGCAGAGGTCAACTCACCTTGCAGAGGTCAACGCACCTTGCAGAGGTCAACTCACCTTGCAGAGGTCAACTCACCTTGCAGAGGTCAACTCACCTTGCAGAGGTCAACTCACCTTGCAGAGGTCAATTCACCATGCAGAGGTCAACTCACCTTGCAGAGGTCAACGAGGACGATTGTGTAGTAGATGGGTCGGAAGGGCGGCCGGGGAAGCAGCAGCAACTAGACAAGGGAGAAAGGACGGCGGGGAGGAGGGGAGCGGGAGGGGACGAAGGGCAAAGAAAAACAAAGAGAGGAATAGGGTCACATGGAAATCGGTAGAGAGGGGTAAAGCGGGGCATAGAGAGCTGGAGAGAGGTCCAGAGAGCTGGGAAGAATGGGAAGAGCTGAGAAGGGGAATGGGAGGAGGGAGTGTGGCGGACAGATGTTGCAGGCACAATTGCTAAGGAAGAGGGGGAAGAATGGAGGGCAGCAGTCGGTATGTCCATCCCCTGGATGAAAATAGCTATGTGGTTTCACCTGGATGAAGACATGATTCTGTGATTTTCACCTGAAAGGGCACATACCTCTGTGGTTTTCACCTGGGAGAAGACAGTTTCTGCCATGACATATTCGTAGTGGAAGGGAACAGGCAGGCCCACCAGGTAGCTCGCACACTCCTTGCGACTGGTGAGGGGGATGGTGGGGATGGCAGGGGTGGGGGGTCGGGGTGGTGGGAGTGCTAGGGGTGGTGAGGATGGTAAAGGTGGTGGGGATGATGGGGGTAGACATGAGCAACGAACCGAACCTAGGTTCGAAAAAGTTTAAGCAAACATGTTTGAGTTCGGTTCGTGCTCATATCTAGATGGGTGGGGGTGATGGGGGTGATGGGGGTGATGGGGGTGATGGGGGTGATGGGGGCAGCAAGATAATGAGAAGAGATGATGCATGAACCCAACAAGGCATCCCACAAGAGTCAGACCCACCAGGTGGCTTGCACACTCCCGCCACTCACCCCACCTGCCACTCACTTGCTCACGCCCACCTGCCTGCCATTCATGTGAAAGAACACGCCGAGCAGATACTCCATGCACGAGCATGTCATCTGCCACGCCACTCACTTACTCCATGCACCCACCTGCCGTTCATGTACAAGAGCACGTCCAGCAGATACTCCTGCACCACAAAGCGATCTATAGCTGTTGGCACTAGGCTAGACGCACAACCCTGCCTTTCTTTGCACGGGCATGTCACCTGCCACTCACCCCACTCATTCACACACACCCCCACCTGCTGTTCATGAACTTCATGTACAAGAGCACGTCCAGCAGATACTCCTGCACCACACAGCGATCTACAGCTGTTGGCACTAGGAGCGCAGCCCCACCCTTCATTGCACGTGCATGACACCTGCCACCACTCCCTCGCATGCACACACCCACCTGCCATTCATGTAGAAGAGCACGTCCAGCAGATACTCCTGCACCACAAAGCGATCGATGGGTGACATTGTCTGGTGCGGGGAGAGAGGAGGAGGAGGAGAGGGGCGAGTTACAAGGAAATGTTTATGACATCGTTAAAGGGGTGAATACCAAGTCAATGCTCCTGCACGACACAAAGTGGTCGATGGGCGCCATGGTATGATGGGAGAGAGCAGGGAGAGAGAGGGACGTTCAAAGGGAATGCTGGCGACATTGTGAAACGATCCAAGTTCGTCCCACCCTCTTACGCCCGCCTTTACCAGATCTTTACCATACCAGATCTTTACCATACCAGATCTTTACCTTACCAGATCTTTACCATACCAGATCTTTACCTTACCAGATCTTTACCTTACCAGATCTTTACCATACCAGATCTTTACCATACCAGATCTTTACCTTACCAGATCTTTACCAGTTAACGGGGGATGTTGAAAATGGTTGATTGATGCTACAGACATCTCGAGGGAATGTTTTGAGACGTCTCAAAACACTTCTTCATACACGTGGATGTTGAAAATGGTTGATTGATGCTACATACATCTCGAGGGAATAAGAGGGAGGAAACGCAAGAGCAGCTCACAGCGTCGGTCTTGGCAGGTGGAAACAGCTTCAGCCGGCCAATCCGGGGCGGGAACTGTTGCAGCGCCTCGAACCGCTGCCGGGCGGCGGCTCTTGTCTGCTTGTGCTCGTCGTCGCCCTCGTCCATGTCAGCATCAGTGTCGAGTTGGACGGCAGCAGGGGGCGGCGGCGGGGGAGTGAAGAGGCCGAGGGGGTGGCGCATGGAAGAGGAGAGCCTTTCTTTTACTGCCACGTGCGGGCGCGGGACTGCGAGCAAGAGAGGGAAAAAGGCGGTTGGGGGGAGAGGAAAAAGGGACAGAGGGTTCAGAGGTGAGAGGGTGGGCATGGACGATGAGAGCCTTTCCTTCACTGCCACGTGCGGGTGCGGGACTGGAAGTGAGGGAGAAGAGAAAGAGGGACAGGGGAAGGGGACAGATGTAAGGAAGATGGAGAGGTTGAGTAGGTGGCAGTTAAATTTGCGGGAGAAGAAAAGTAAACGTAAGCGAAAAAGCTGCAACAACATTTCTTAAAGTATACTGTAATTGGGATACATGGCCATTTCTTTGCATGCACTGCACTTCACAATGCCATCGACAAACCAAGGAGGCTTAAGGTTTCCGTACCGCTCTCAGCCTTCCATGCATCTTCCTTGCATGCTTTGATGCGATCCCATAGCTCCTCCAGATAGTCCTGAGACCAAGTACACCAAGGGATGGATGCAGCGTGCATGTGGAACGGCAAATCATTGTGACTTTTGGGTCGACTCAAAAGTCAGTCTGTGCGATCCCATAGCTCTTCCAGATAGTCCTGAGACCGAGAGCACCGGGGCATGCAGAGTGCATGTGGAATGGCAAATTCTTGGGCACATTGTGGCTCTATTGGGGTCACTGGTAAGAATCCTCAGAAGTTACTTATAAAGTGAGATCTGAGACGTGCCTCTGAAGTCCCACCTGTGGCGGTGTGGTGTCGGTGGGCTGAGGCTCGAAGACAGCGAGTGCAGGGAAGATGAGGGGCGAGCGGGCTTCCATGTAGCCCTGCACTGCCGCTAGCAGGCTGGCTAGCTCGTCCGGATGTGACTGAAGCGCAGGATAAAGGGGCAGAGATTCCATCATACACGGTGATATCAGAGAGGGGAGGACAAGAGGTCCGAGGCGAAGGGAGTGAAGGCAGGGACGCACGCAAAGGGGGGACAAAACAAGAGGCAACAGGGAAGAGGGAAGAGGGAAGAGGCAAGAGGGCAAGAGGGAAGAGGGAAGAGGGAAGAGGCAAGAAACCAAATTCCATACACACGCACCTCCTGCCAGTCCTGCGCAGCAAAGGGAAGGCAGGCAAGCACACAAAAGACAAAGAAGTCCGCCCTCGGCTGCCAGCTGGGATTCCCGCCAGCTGTCGGGTCGAGGTGCGAGGTGGCGGTGTCGACCAGAAGAGACAAAACTTGCAACACCTCGGACTCTGGCACTACTGCTGCCACAGACTGAGAGAAACGGGGAAGAGGGTAATGGGAGAGAGAGAAGAGGGAAAGTGCGGAAAGGGAGACAGTAGTATGAAGGGAAAGGGTGAAACGGGAGAGGAGAGAGACAGGAAAATACGTTTGAGACAGGGAGGGGAGACAAAACGGTTACGAGGGAAGATGCAGAAAGGCAGAGAGAGGCAACGATTGCAGCAGGATGCCTGACTTTGGTATGCTGTATTAGTAACAGGTTAAGACGAAGTGCAAAAGAGGAGAGTGAAAGCAAAGCGTCATACCAGCCGTGCAAACCGTTGCACGAAAAACAAACGAGGGGGGGTGGGGTGGGGTGGGGTGGGGTGGGCGGGGGGGCGGGAGAAGGAAGGGGGGTGGTGATACATACGAGCAGAGCGAGCAGGCGTAGCAGAATGCGCGTCTTGTTGCACTCGCCGGTTTCAAAGGCCGCCTGGTTGAGAGCAGAGGAGCAGCACGGGGAAGAGAGGCGTGAGAGGGGGACCGGGAAAAGGCGAGCACTCGCAATGCAGGTGGTAGGGGGGCGGACTGGCGGGGAACGGAACGGAATGACCAATACAAAGCGTTGCGAGCACGCCACACACACTGGATCGGGATGCATATGTGGTGTTGATCTGGGATTTGACACACACGGGAAGAGGCAAGAGAGCTAGCGTGCAGAATACACACACACCGCAAGGCAGCACACAGCAAACTGCACACAGCGCAAGGCAGCACACAGCAAACTGCACACAGCGCGTAAACTATCACAAATCACATCACAACAAATCATGCAGCAGCACAGCACAAAGCACGCAGCACCGCACAGCACCCCAAAGCACCGCACACAATCCACCCACCTGCAAGCCTGCCATCACATGCTCCACCACTGAGGCCCCAAACTCCTCATAGTCCACATTCAGCAGCGACACCTGTGGGGGGGTTGCGTGGGGAGAGAGGGGGAACAGAGGAGTGTGTGTAGGCAGGAGCACGAGGAAGGGGGGGATTGGAGGAGGTGAAGATTTACCAAAGACGCCCCAAACTCCTCATAGTCCACATTCAGCAGGGACACCTGTGGCGGGGTTGCGTGGGGAGAGAGGGGGATGAATGAGCAAGGAAAAAGGGAGGGTTGCATTTAGGGAAGATGGCCGAACGAAAAGTGGACGAAGGGAGAGGGGAGAGCGGGAAATGGAAGGATGGAGGAAGTAGAAGGGGAAAGAGCACGAGAGGTTTTGCAATCAGCAATGTGTGAGGAGTCTCAGGCATTGGTGGGCCTTTGAGATAAAGGGAGACAGAATGGTCCTCTTGAGCGAAGAGCTGAGGAGGAGAAGGAAGAGGAGAGCAAGGAATTGAAGTGTAATGGAAGGACGAGCAGCGGGGGGGTGAGGGGGGGAGGATCCGAGGAGGGGGAGGAGGGAGGAAAGAAGTTGGGGAGGGTAAGAGGAGAGGAGGTACCAGAGTGGTGTAGAACGGTGCCTTTTGGGGAAGGTCCTCTGCACACTGCATTAGGAGCTGCATGGGGTGGGAGGCGCGTGGAGTGGGGTGGAGCGGGGCGGAGCATGGGGTGAGGATTAGTGTTGAGCAAACGAAACAGGTAATGAGGACGGAATGGGAGTGGGATGGGACGAACGGGATGGGTGCACGTTTGAGCCGACTCCAAAGTCATCTCGGGTGGGAAGGGAACAACAGGTGGCCAAACGGAAGGGATGGATGAAAACCAGCAGCAATCGCTTCTGGTTGCATGGAAGATGCTGGTGGTAAGGCATGGCATGACATGGCATGGCATGCCACAGCATATGATATGACATGGCATGGCATGGCACAGCATTTGACATGGCATGTACAAATGATAAGATCAAACTGCTCATCTCATCAACCATGGCATGTCTCACCGGCAGCAGCTCGCCCTTGAGGGCGTCGAAGTTGCGGCTCACCACCGTCAGACACAGGTCCTGGTGGTGGGTGGGTGACGCGGAGGGGTGGGAGAGGACACAGAGAGGGAGGGAACGGAGTGGAAGAAAGGGGAGTGGGGGGAGGTTAGGGAAGTAAGCATGTGGCGATGACAGCTCGCATTTGAGGGCGTCGAAGTTGCGACTGACCACCGTCAGGCACAGGTCCTGGTGTTGTGGTGGAGAAGGATCGGAGGGATGGGAGGGACGGGACGGAGGAAAGGGAGAAAGGGGGAGGGGAGTGGGTCCCGTTATAGCCTTCCCGTCAGCTGTCGAATTCACTAACCCACATGCTATTCTCACTATCCTGAAACGCCCTCCCCACCCCTTCTCCCTCCTAATCCCCGCCCCCAAATTCCGATTCTTCCCCCACCCCTTCTCCCTCCCAATCCCCGCCTCCAAATCCCCTCCCCTCCCACCCCTTCTTCCACCCCCCCCAACTCTACCATCTGTTAAACAGGGTCCATGCGACCATCGAACTCCATGCACCTCTGAGACGTCTTAAAAATGACACATCCCTCAACCCCACCCCCCTCCTTCATCTCCCCACCACCCACACCACACATCATCCGCTCTCTTCCTTCCCACGCGTACCATCTGCTCAACGGGGTCCATGCGCCCGTCGAACTCCATGCACCTCTGAGAATGTCCCAGAGTGAAACGATTCCACCTTCCCTTTCACCCCTTTTCCCTCCCTCTCCCTCCCTCTCCCACCCTCTTCATCCCCTCTCTTCCCAAGCGTACCATCTGCTCAATGGGGTCCATGCGCCCGTCGAACTCCATGCACCTCTGAGAAATTCCCAGAGTGAAACGATTCCCCCTATTCTCTCACCCCTTCGCCCCCCCTCTTCCTTCCCCCACACCTACCATCTGCTCAATGGGGTCCATGCGCCCATCAAACTCCATGCACCGCTCGCCCAGCCGCAGCACGAGCACGCGCCAGCTGCCATTCCATACCATGCCATGCCATGCCATGCCATGGGACAACACGTGTTGGACACACGGTAAGCAGGGACACGCGAAATGGGGAATGGGGATAACGGGGAATGGGGATAACGGGGAATGGGGATAACGGGGAATGGGGATAACGGGGAATGGGGATAACGGGGAATGGGGATAACGGGGAATGGGGATAACGGGGAATGGGGATAACGGGGAATGGGGATAACGGGGAATGGGGATAACGGGGAATGGGGATAACGGGGAATGGGGATAACGGGGAATGGGGATAACGGGGAATGGGGATAACGGGGAATGGGGATAACGGGGAATGGGGATAACGGGGAATGGGGATAACGGGGAATGGGGATAACGGGGAATGGGGATAACGGGGAATGGGGATAACAGGGAATGGGGATAACGGGGAATGGGGATAACGGGAATGGGGATAACGGGGAATGGGGATAACGGGGAATGGGGATAACGGGGAATGGGGATAACGGGGAATGGGGATAACGGGGAATGGGGATAACGGGGAATGGGGATAACGGGGAATGGGGATAACGGGGAATGGGGATAACGGGGAATGGGGATAACGGGGAATGGGGATAACGGGGAATGGGGATAACGGGGAATGGGGATAACGGGGAATGGGGATAACGGGGAATGGGGATAACGGGGAATGGGGATAACGGGGAATGGGGATAACGGGGAATGGGGATAACGGGGAATGGGGATAACGGGGAATGGGGATAACGGGGAATGGGGATAACGGGGAATGGGGATAACGGGGAATGGGGATAACGGGGAATGGGGATAACGGGGAATGGGGATAACGGGGAATGGGGATAACGGGGAATGGGGATAACGGGGAATGGGGATAACGGGGAATGGGGATAACGGGGAATGGGGATAACGGGGAATGGGGATAACGGGGAATGGGGATAACGGGGAATGGGGATAACGGGGAATGGGGATAACGGGGAATGGGGATAACGGGGAATGGGGATAACGGGGAATGGGGATAACGGGGAATGGGGATAACGGGGAATGGGGATAACGGGGAATGGGGATAACGGGGAATGGGGATAACGGGGAATGGGGATAACGGGGAATGGGGATAACGGGGAATGGGGATAACGGGGAATGGGGATAACGGGGAATGGGGATAACGGGGAATGGGGATAACGGGGAATGGGGATAACGGGGAATGGGGATAACGGGGAATGGGGATAACGGGGAATGGGGATAACGGGGAATGGGGATAACGGGGAATGGGGATAACGGGGAATGGGGATAACGGGGAATGGGGATAACGGGGAATGGGGATAACGGGGAATGGGGATAACGGGGAATGGGGATAACGGGGAATGGGGATAACGGGGAATGGGGATAACGGGGAATGGGGATAACGGGGAATGGGGATAACGGGGAATGGGGATAACGGGGAATGGGGATAACGGGGAATGGGGATAACGGGGAATGGGGATAACGGGGAATGGGGATAACGGGGAATGGGGATAACGGGGAATGGGGATAACGGGGAATGGGGATAACGGGGAATGGGGATAACGGGGAATGGGGATAACGGGGAATGGGGATAACGGGGAATGGGGATAACGGGGAATGGGGATAACGGGGAATGGGGATAACGGGGAATGGGGATAACGGGGAATGGGGATAACGGGGAATGGGGATAACGGGGAATGGGGATAACGGGGAATGGGGATAACGGGGAATGGGGATAACGGGGAATGGGGATAACGGGGAATGGGGATAACGGGGAATGGGGATAACGGGGAATGGGGATAACGGGGAATGGGGATAACGGGGAATGGGGATAACGGGGAATGGGGATAACGGGGAATGGGGATAACGGGGAATGGGGATAACGGGGAATGGGGATAACGGGGAATGGGGATAACGGGGAATGGGGATAACGGGGAATGGGGATAACGGGGAATGGGGATAACGGGGAATGGGGATAACGGGGAATGGGGATAACGGGGAATGGGGATAACGGGGAATGGGGATAACGGGGAATGGGGATAACGGGGAATGGGGATAACGGGGAATGGGGATAACGGGGAATGGGGATAACGGGACGGGGAATGGGGATAACGGGGAATGGGGATAACGGGGAATGGGGATAACGGGGAATGGGGATAACGGGGAATGGGGATAACGGGGAATGGGGATAACGGGGAATGGGGATAACGGGGAATGGGGATAACGGGGAATGGGATAACGGGGAATGGGGATAACGGGGAATGGGGATAACGGGGAATGGGGATAACGGGGAATGGGGATAACGGGGAATGGGGATAACGGGGAATGGGGATAACGGGGAATGGGGATAACGGGGAATGGGGATAACGGGGAATGGGGATAACGGGGAATGGGGATAACGGGGAATGGGGATAACGGGGAATGGGGATAACGGGGAATGGGGATAACGGGGAATGGGGATAACGGGGAATGGGGATAACGGGGAATGGGGATAACGGGGAATGGGGATAACGGGGAATGGGGATAACGGGGAATGGGGATAACGGGGAATGGGGATAACGGGGAATGGGGATAACGGGGAATGGGGATAACGGGGAATGGGGATAACGGGGAATGGGGGCAAAAGGGGAGGGACGGAGGAAGTAAAGGGTGAAGGACGAAAGAAAGGCGGAGAGAGAGGGGGGGGAGGGAGGGGGGGGGGGGGGGGGGAGGGGGGGGGGGTTTGAGGTGATGCGAATGAAAGTATAAGAACAGACATGCTACAGTACAGCCTACAGGCAGAGCCCTTGGAAGTGCATGGGTTTGATGGGATTCAGTGGGGTTCAATGGGGTTCAATGGAGTCACGCAGACATGAGTCAAGAGTTCAGCAGCAGTCCCAACGGAGCCTGGGTTGCGAATTGTGGGGAATCGAGGAATTCTCAGCAGTGGCCATCAGTCATCACTTCACTGGGCTCAGGATGACACAAGACATCATGAGTCGTACCCTCACTCACACGCACGACTTATGAGTCAAATTAAAAGTCAACCCATCATCACTTCATTAGGCTCAGAATGACACAAGACATCATGAGTCGTACCCTCACACACACACGCACACACTCACCTGGAGCCAACCTCAAATGCCGCTTCATCCTTGCGAAATGCGGGCCCACGGTTGTCTGGCAGGGGGATGGGGAGGGCGGCACGGAGGAAAGAGGATGATGGAGAGGAGAGGAGGGGATCGGGGAGGGGAGGACTGGAGAGGAGAGGGGAGCGGAGGAGAAAAGAGGAAAGGGAATCTGGTGGGAGCAAAAATAAACAGCAAGGTGCCGAAGGGAAATTGAAACGAAGTCCTTCTGCAGCATGTTGAGGAACCTGTGGGACATTTATGTACTGTAGCACGTATACACCACAGATGGTAACGATGCTAAAGCGCGACATCATACTGACGAACGAACAATAGCAAGCACATGTCTGTCGCAGAGCAACCCACGCACGCCCAACCTGTCGCACAGCAGGTCTGTCGCACAACGTGCCTGAGGTGACTCTCTGTCGCTTGTTGCTGCGATCGCTCTCTAGCGCCATCCTCCCTTCGCGAATCTGGCTGCTCACTGTCAGAGTCTCCCCGCAGATCAACTCTGCTGCCTCTCCGAGTCTCCCTCTTAACTAATTTTGCCGGTCGAACTGGTCGGATGCCGTCCCTAAAAGTCTAACGGTAACGGCTGTCCCGCGACCCGGCTAAAGGGCTAAACGAATAATGCAGCAGTAATGCGACAACCAGCTTTGTACCGTCAAATGGACATTCGGCAGCTGATCTAGCGCACATATGATCCGAAAAGATCGGATTATTTCCTCCTTCGCTGCAAAGTTAAAACAAGCGCAGGTCGATTAAAAATCACGGGGGGCTCGTTTCGGGAGACACTAATGCACGACCTGGCAAAAGTTTATGCCTAGAGCGAGAGCCCTAAGGAATCGGTCAAAATTGATTCGAGAATTCTCGAACTGGAAAAATTGCTGACACCCCCGGTCGCTTCCCAGCGTGCGGTTCTTCGAGGCAACACACTGCCGGATCCGCTAACTCAACGGTTCCGCGGAGCGCGGAAGCTCCTATGACCTGGCAGAAGGCTTTTGACATGAACTGCACTAGTCACAACTACAGGAAGGGCTGCTGCTTGTTTGCAGAGACATGCCTCTCCACATTCATGATGAGACCTAGCTGCGTTACGAGACAACTCGCTTGTGAACAATTCCGTGTGCTAAGGTTTCACAGGATATGGTAGGGTTTATGCATTCTTTACCTTAATCGTATATACTGAGCAATGGCTGATCCAATATTGATTTGTTCTGAGATCTAGATCGTTCGAATAATTGAAAATGGGCACTTAATATCCCCCTCACGATTGGGCCATGCATTCACCCCATTTTTGGATACTGTAAAACATACCGTAATACCCCGGATAGTAGCGCAAATGCGCTTATAATAAATTCATTTTTTTAGGGGGGGCGCTTGTAATTGAGTAACGGCCATAAGCGCCGGCGCTTTTATAAAGGCAAAACTGAATTTCAATGTAAAGGATATCATTCTGAAGCCGTCAATAAGGCGAATACGACACTGTACCATGCGCGCGGAGTCGTGCATGGAATGACAGCGAAACTTGCCACGGTTCGATTTCCCACCGCACAAAACCCGTCCCGGTGCAACGCACCTGCCAGCGCTGATGCAAAACCTGCCGTGCGGCCCAATCAGGTTGGCATTCGCTGCCAGGCAGGAGCATCTCGGCAGAACCATCCAGAACGTGATGGAATCTGCCGTGCCAGCGCAGCATGGATGGTGCCCCCAACCCTCCTCTGCGGGTTGGGGCAGGGGTGTACTCGTCTCTCATCGACGAGGACCCCGAGCCGCAAACCAGAAGGGGTCCCCTTCAATCTCCCATTTCAACACCCAGGGTTGCAGTTTTTTATTCAGTCTTCTTGTTCTCGCCCGCATGGCTGCGGAAGCCATGGCGAAATTCACAGGCACTCATTTTCTCTTCAAGAAAAAACCTTCCAGTAGGCCCGCGTACCGTGTTACAGCTGACGGGTGGTATAGCCGCATACCTCCAGACCCTCCAGAGCCACCTGCGCCTCCTGCGCCGCCTGCTCCTCCGGCTCCTCCAGTGCCTCCGACTCCCCCTGCTCCTCCTGTTCCTCCGTCTCCTCCGTGTCCGGTGGCCCCTCACATCGACAACCACCCCGTGCTCACGCTCCTGCTCCCATCGGCGTTCGACAAGTATCTGTCGGAACCGGATTATGACAAGGGCCCCGATGTTGACGTATCCGCTCCAGCGCCAGCACCACGTTGGGGCCAGCCAGAAGATTTCACGTAGGACGAATCTGCAGTCGGCGCTGACAACGACGTGCAAGACGCCGAGGAAGATTGGCATGCTGACGGCGACGCCGGCGCCGAGGGTGGCACTGAGGCCGACACCGAGGCCGCTACTGAGGCCGGCACTGCTGAGGATGTGTTTCCCGAGGGTGCGCCGGGCGGTGACGACGACGACGGTGTCGAATACTGGTCACGCGATGGCCTCCCCGAGAAACTCCCGATACCAACTTATCTTCCACGTAATCGAAAGCGACCTCACCCTTCTTCACAGAACCGTGATTCTCGCCCCCCCTCTCCCAGGCACAAGCCCAACGACCACAAGCGCCAGGCCTATACTGCCGCCGAGAAGTTGAAGTGGGTCGCGCAGCTGGATGTGGCGCTGTCGGTGCGCGCTCTGGCTCGCGAGAGTGGCACCCACCGCAAGTGCCTCGCCAACTGGAAGCGTGCCGCTGATTTCCTCAAGGAAGCCCACTCTGCCAGGTGCCGCATGCATGGTCGCGGCAGGTCGTCGTGGTACCGCCCGATGGAGGTCAAGGTGTATGAGCGACTGCTCGACTGGCGACGCAAGGGAACCGCGGTGTCCGTCGGCCGCCTGCAGGAGTGGTCCCGGGAGTTCATGAAGATTCTCTACCCCCTCGTGAAGTGGAAAGGGAGCCAACGGTGGTCGGACCGGTTCCGTCGGCGGTGGAATCTCAGCGTGCGAATGAAGACGAAGGTCGCCCAGAAAACCACCGCCCGTAAGAATCATTTTTATTCTCTATGCCATGTGTATGCACTTGTTACTCACTAACCGTAACTGTGCTCAACCGCACATGTCGCGGAGCAGTGCAAGAAGTTCTGGCAATTCGTCCGTGACAAGCGTCGGGAGCGCGGCATCGAGACGACGTGGATGATCAACGCCGACCAGACGCCGCTGTGGCTGGAGATGCCCGCCACCACTACCGTCGATCAAACCGGTGTTCGGTCGGTGCCCATCAGGAGCGCGGGGTACCAGAAGGAGCGCGTGACCGTGATGTTGGCGTGCACGGCGGACGGGATGAAGCTGAAGCCGTGGGTTTTTTTCAAGCGGAAGACCGTTCCGAAAGGGGTGTTCCCGCCGGGTCAGTCATGATTCTTGTTTGTATGCTTTTCATCGGTCCTGTTTTTTACGAGAAACTTACAGAAGCTTCGTTGTTATGCAGATGTGGTCGTGGCGTGTCACGAGAACGGCTGGATGGACGCGGAAGGCGTCATACGATGGCTTGAGAAGAGCGTCAAGCCTTTTTTTAAGCCTGGGTTCGGGAGGCATGCGCGGAGCTCGATGGTCGTACTGGACTCGTACCGCGGTCACCTCACTGAGGGGGTGAAGGAGAAGTTTCGCGAGCTCAACTGCATGCCGGCGATCATCCCGTCTGGCTGCACGGCGGAGATACAGCCCCTCGACGTCTGCATTAACAAGAGCTTTAAGGCGAGCGTCCGCCAGCAGTATCAGAAGTGGTTTCAGGAAGAAGGCCAAGAACAGCTAACCAGAGCAGGTATGATAGGCACGCGAGTCCCTATCTTACCGTAGATGATTGTCCCCCCTTTTGATGCGCTAACTAAATATTGTGTGATTCTGTTGGTACAGGGAACTTGAAGAAGCCACCCCCAGAGGTGGTCGTGAGGTGGATCTCACGGGCCGGGAAAGCAGTGCCCGTGGACCTCATCAAGCGCGCCTTCCTCACCTGTGGCATCAGCAACGCGCTTGACGGCAGTGAGGGCGGCCTCGCCATGGCGCACAGGCGGAGCCAGCTGACCGCGGAGGTGGACGTCGATGATACTATCATCGCCGATGGCTTCTTTGACAACAACTGCCAGGAGCCCGAATCCGACGAGGAGTAGATTTTCTAGGTAGAAATGCTAAACTCAGCAATTTCTAGTTTAGTGTCAGTGTTGGTGTCTATAAAACTGTATGTTGTACCGTATACTCCCGGACAAAACACCCCCCCATAATTGTACACCCCCGGGTAGCTTGTGCGGGGTGGGTGATATGGGGAGCCTCGTTTCTACTATACCCCCCTTTTGGGCTGATTTTCTATAACACCCCCCTTTTCTTACGAATTCGTTATAATAGTCGTTAACGAGTAGCTGCAATATTGAAGAATATCGCGAAAATTTCTCCCTAGATGAAATTTCACGGTACATTCACTTACAATCTACCGAGATTTCCCCCCTCGCACTACTTCGCTGTGACCACGTGCAGGCGAATCTTCCGCTGCAAGTGGCAAGAGAGGTGCCACATGGCATTTTCGTGGGGGTGATGAAGCTCGTGGCCGAAACCCACATTCGCGCCTCAGACAGTGATGTTAAAATGAAAATCAAAACACCCACATTGTCTAATCAAATAAACACTAACATCAAAAGATACCATATGTAAAGACCCGGGTATTATGTATTTTTTTCCTATGAGGAGACCCCCCCCATTTTTTCCCTGTATTTTTAGCTATACCCTAGGGTGCTATGTCCGGGAGAATACGGTAGGTGAAAATTTATCATGTTCATGTTTAGTGTTAATTGTTGTTCATATTTCGTAATGAAACCTCCACAACGTGAAAGGGGTGCGCTTATAATAAGTACACCCTCCAGAGGGGGGTGCTCTCAATCGGACGGCGCCTATATCCGGGGCCATACGGTATTCTTAATAGCATATGAAACCAGCTGACTCAATTTCACCATGGAGGGAGAAATGCTATATTTTAGCACCACGTTTGAACACGTTCGTTCACCTACCTTGAGGCACCTGATTTCCTTGAAGAGGCTTCAAAATTCTAAGGACATGATGCCAAGAACATTGAGTCGATGGCTAGCCTCCGCCATTGAGGAAACTTCAGGAGGTATAGCTGCACAGCTGACAGCTAGCTCTGCAAAGCTGCACGTAAGAACGAAGGGAACTGAGTCGAGAGAGAAATAAAGCAAACCGAAAAGTGCTACAATACTATTGGAAGGGAAGGTATACAAAAGTACAATCCACAATACAGAAGTACATAGCGGGCCATACCTTAACATGGTGGAGGGTGTGCGCTTGATTGCGAGGGAAGGATCAGCTAGACTGAGCAGACGTGTGTGGTCCATGCACTCGCATGCAGATTTGATCTGCAGGCATGCATGGGTACATTTAATAGTCGGTCATGAATGCACACAACAAAAACATGCGTACAAATAGCGCGCATGTATTTCATTGTGTGATATATCCATGAGTTGCTGGCAAAGGCGCCATGCTCTTCGAGGGCTACACTAGCAGGACATGTGTGTGCGGATGCATGCATGTGCATATGAGATGGCATGCACATACATGCAATCAGTGATGCGGGGCTGATGCAAATGCATGTATGTGGCCAGAAACACTACGAATGTGCATAGAAAAGAGGATAAATTCTTTTAGGGAAAAATATAAACAAACAAATAAATATATAAATGAATAAATAAATAAATTCACTGTTCATGGTAATTGTGATATCCCTTGGAAGACGGGACTGTGATCTCAGCTCTCATTACTCACCTCAGCCAGCATCCGCTGTGCATCGGACGAAAGGGCAGCGAAGGTGGGGGAAGAGGACGAGGCGGAAGGTGGTGATGATGATGATGGTGTTGAGAGGAAGGGGTCACGGCCGGTGAGCAGATGGAGGAGAATGAGACCAAAGCTGTGGATGTCCGATGCTATGTGCTCCGCCACGTCAGCTGCCATGTCAGCTACCATGTCATCAGATGAATTTCCATGCGATGCCCTGCGGGCATGGAGAAAGAAAATGGAGACAAAGGGATGAAAAGGCACTGCCTCCAGACTATCCCCATCCTCTCCTCCAAGTGCTGCTGCTGCACCTAACCCTGCCTTCCACCAGTAAATCCCTTTGCTTCCTCTCTGAGTAGCCCACCCACATGCCTCTCATCCTTGCAGGCAACTTTTGAAATGCGACACCCAACCTCGCAGCTTCCCCCCAGTTCTCACCTGCGGTGCCCCAGTCTTCTCAGCCTGGCAGCAGCGAAGCCGCCGACACGCGGCTTGAGGTCCGCCCCAAACGCCACGTGGCGCGAGGAGAGAGCGCCATGTGGCAGCGGGGGATCGCACGAGTGGGCAAATGTGAGAGCTCGGGCTACCGACCGTGCCACCTGTACCCTTGCAGGCCAGTCCAGTAGAGGAGGGGAGGAGGCTGGAGAACAAGCGGGGGCGGTGGGGAAAGAGGGAGAAAGGAAAAATGGGGAAGGCAAATTGCACGTGAGTTATTAGGGCGTAGGCGAATACATGATTGGGCAAATGTGGGCACTCGGGCTACAGACCGCGCCACCTGTACCCTTGTAGGCCAGTCCAGTAGAGGGGGGGAGGAGGCTGGGTGCAGGGCATGGTTGCAAGGAAGAGGGAGTAAGGAGCATTGAGACGATTAGGAGTGGGAGTCGCACGAGTGGGCGAATGCGAGAAGTCAGGCTTCCGACATGCAACGTGCACCGTTTCAGGCCAGTCGAGCAGTGGGGGGGAGGAAGGGGGAATTGGTGGAAGGGGGAAACGGGGATGAATGATAGACATGTTTTGCCTTGACGCACTCCTAGCACTTTTGAGTCGACTCAAAAGTCAATGATACACATGTTTTGCCTTGACGCACTCCTAGCATTCACGCGCTCGCAAAAACAGAACGAACCAGTCTTATGGGAAGAAAGGAGGCAGGGAAGCGGAAAAGAGTGAGGCAGCCAGCAGATGTGACGAACCTGGCCGGCACAAGTGAAACACCTGAAGAAACACTTGAAAGAAAAGCTGAAGGATCACCAGACGAACACTCGAGAGAGAAGCTGAAGGATCACAAAAAAATCGCCTGAAGATCCAGCTAAAGAAACACATCGGACGAACCTTTGAGCCACTGGAGCAGAGTCCCCTGCGACATGTGGGCTGTGGCTACCAGACAAATGTTGCCGGCCAGTAGCTTGTAGCCAAGAGTGTCGACGATGTGCGGGTGGGAGAGGTGGGAGAGCAGACGCATGTGCTGTGAGATGTGGGCCGGGGAGAGCTGGGACAGTGGGGAAATATGGAGAGGGAGGAAATGAGGAAGGAGAGTTTTGAGACGTCGCAAGAGTCGGAGAGGTGGGAGGGCAGACGCATGTGCTGTGAGATTAGGGCAGGGGAGAGCTGGGACAGGGGGAAAGCCGGGAGGAGGAGGGGCACGCGGCGGGAGAGGGAGAGTGGGGAGATGAAAAGGGGGGTTGGGAGTACACATGAGATGGGATGGGAACGGAGTAAAAACGGAGAATGAATAAGTAAAATCCATGCTTCCAAACAGACTCTTTCCCTCACCCCGTCCCTCCCATCCCCAGCTTACCTGCCCGATCACGACTCGCTCCACATCCACAGTCTCCCCGAATGGCAGCACAGCAGTTGTGATGGCAGTTGCAGCGACTGCTGTTGATTGCGTGCCTCGGCCACTCCTGTCCACCGCCTCAGAGTGAATGCCTCGCTGCTTCTTCCTTATCTGCTCACCATCAGCAAGTGATGACCCACGCTGGCCCATTGGCTCGTCCCAACCCCTCGGCCCAACCGCACCCCTTGGCTCCGCCGCACCCTTTGGCTCGGCCGCTCCCCTTGCCTCAGCCACAACTCTTAGCTCTGGTGCACCCATTGGCTTCACCTGGCCGCTTGACATGCCTGCAGGCAGCCCAGCAGCAGCTGACACAGGGGCACTAGACCATGGCGAAGGGACCAATGAAGGATAATCTTGATGGTTGAGATGATGCTCGTTGTTGCTCCTTCTCCCCTGCCACTGTTGGTTGGGCTGGTGCCCATGTTTTCTCCCTGCCCGTTGCTGGTCTTTCACACCTCCCTGCAGCTGCTGTACTCGTTGCTGTGGTATTTGTTGTTGTTGTTGCTGCTGCTGCTGCTGTGCTCGTTGCTGCGGTATTTGTTGTTGCTCCTGCGCCTGCTGCTGCTGTTGCTGCTGCTGCTGCTGCCTGGCCTGTGCTTCCAGCCACCCAATGTGCTGCTCAACGGATGGCAGCACTGCACTCGGACCTCTACTCACGCCCGCACCGACACCCCTTGCCAAGGGCACGCCCATCTGCTCAGCCACGCCCATCCCTGTGTCCATGCCACTAGCAAGAGCCGCCCCATCCTTATCCTCCACTGGCTCTTGATTGTGTGGTGCCTGAGAAACAGAATTTGCCACCTGCTGCTTCTGCCTCCTCTCCTTCCCGCTCTGCTCCTACTGTTGCTGCTGCACCTGCTGCTGCTGCTGCTGCTGCTGCTGCTGCTGCTGCTGCTACTGCTGCTTCTGCTGCTGCACCTGCACTTCCTCCTGCCACAAACGCTGTTGAGAGTGTGGATGCGGCATGCGCTGATGCTGCTGCTGCTGCTGCTGCTGCCTCACATGCTGCTGCTGAATATGTGCCACGTGCTGCTGTTTCTCCTGATGAAGCTGCTCATGTGCCGGGATGCCCTGGCCTTCTTCCGTTCTCAGATGCACCCTCCCCTCAGATTGCTGCCCCCCCATCCCCTGCTGAGCCCCCCTCTTGGCCTGCTCTTGCTCGTTGTGCTCTTTCTTTGCGTGCCAAGGCCTGTCCCTCTCCTGCCTCTCCCCTTCCACTTCACTCCGTCCCTCTCTCCCGCCTCGCCTCGTCTTCCTCCTCGCCTCCCTGCCCTGCTGCTGCTTTCCACCCAAAGCTTCTCGACCAACATTAGCTCTCAGGTTGCCCCTCTCCACTTTCTCATACCCTCTTCCTTTTCCCCACTCACCCATCCACACACTCTCCTCGTCTTCCCTCTTTCTCGCCCCACACAGGCCCCCACATATCCCCCCACACAGCCCCCCACACACGTCTCCGCAGCAGCCCAGTGCAGCGAAGAGCAGCAGCAGTATGAGCCCTATTGCTAGCACTCCCCCCACTGCCGCCCCTGTGATCGCCAGCTGTTGGCCGCTCATTGGCTGAGGTGGTGGGGCTGGAATGTGGGAGGGGAACAGGGGGAGGGGGCGAGAAGGGGGAGAGGAGGAGAAAGGAGGGAGAGGAAGGGAGAAGGAAGGGAAGAAGGGAGAAGGCGAGGAGGCAGGGAGAAGGCAGGGAAGGTGGGGAGAATTGGACAGCACAGTAAAGCTTCAGGCAGGGAAATCAAAAGATAAACTAGAAGTTCCTGTTTCCACAAGTCGGACTACATGCCATCAGCTAACTCCTACCAGCAGTCAGGAAAAAAAAAAGGCCAGCTGGAGCTCGTTCTTACCAGCTATCTGATTGGCAGTCGGTTCCCCTGATTGGCCCCAAGGGGCTGAAGCAGGGGAGGCAGGGGGGATCGGTCTGGCAGCAGAGGAAGGAGAAGGCTCGACAGAGGAGTTGGGGAAAGGGGGAGAGGGCCTGATGCCCGGTGCTCCACCAGGAGCAGCAGCAGCGGTCGGGTCTGGTGGAGAGAAGCTGGAGCTTTGGGCTGGTGGGGATGGCGGGGCTGCAGGTGCGTTTGGGTCAGCCTGCCTGCTTGGATCGCCTGCAGGTGGATTGGGATTCAATCGGGCAGGCACGGAGGAACACACACGAAGGGATGGTTTGGTGGAATAAGAAAGGACGGGGGCGGATGGGCGGGTGCGCATGACTCGGAGCATTCCTGGTTCGTGGACAGACTTTTGTTGCGTAACGAACCCGGGGAATCGGGACGAATACAAGAGGGAAGAGGATGTGTATCAAAGTGCAGGTTGTGAAATGGAGTAAGCCTACCAGGAATGCAAGTGCAGGGGCCGAAGAGGCCTGTGACAAGGCACACTTGCAGCCCTTTAAGGTGCAAATGCCCATGCAGCATGCGCGGCAGTGGCTGCAAGGGGATTTAGCCGTGGGTGCAAAGGGACTCACGAACCAACCTACCAGGAGTGCAAGTGCAGGGGCCGAAGAAGCCTGTGACAAGGCACACTTGCAGCCCTGGGATGGCAACAACCGGAGCAGGCACTGACAGGCGGGTGACAGCAGCAGCAGCAGGGCGGCGTGAGGGGGCAGATTCACTGGCAGCAACGAGCCTAAAGGCAGCAGAAGGAATTCCTGAAGAAGCAGCTTCTGTGGTGGGTGTAGCGGCAGCAGGAGAGGAACGTCCTGCTGCAGCAATAGGGGCAGAAGAAGTGGCAGCAGGAACAGCAGCAGCAGGAACAGCAGTGGTGGCAGGAGTAACAGCATCGGCAGCGGCGGCAGCAGTGGAGGAGTGGTTGTGCTGTGGTGTTGCAGTGGATGGGGTTGGTTGTGTGAGGCACACACACGGCTGCTGCTGGCCTGCGAATAGGCAGCGCTGGGAAGGGGGCTGGGAAGCAGAGGAGGGAGAGGAGGAGGGAGGGGATGAAGCGGAGGTTGATGAGGGCGAGGGATTGGGAACGGATGCTGGGGATGAAGTGCGAGCAAGGGGTGGGGGAGAGGGAGGGGAGGGCGGAGAGGGGGAGTTCAGCGGAAAGGGAGCGGAGGAGCTTGGCAGAGAGGGAGAAGGGGAGGAAGAGGGGGTAAAGGGAGTGAGGGATGGGGAAGAGGATAAGGGAGGGGAAGGCGCAGAAGAGGGCGGTTGTTCCGAGGAGGAGAATTGGAAGGGTAGGGAGAAGGAGAAGGGGGGAGACGAGGGAGCTGGAGGGAGGGGAATGGAGCCGCTGGGGAGGTTGGGGAGAGTGGTTGACTGCAGTTGAGAAGCGGGACGTTCAGCTGCTGTAACAGGTGCGTATGACGAGGGAAAGTATGGTGCAATTTGCTGGGTGGTTGACACAGGAGGAGGGAACAGAGGCGCCTGTGTGTTGACTGCTGTTCCTAATGCCATCTCGCCAGTCCCCCCTCTTCCTGCTACGCCCACACCCCCTCTTGAACCTTGTAAAGGCTGTGCTGCTGACGTGGCTAGAGGTGCTGACGTGGAGGGAGCTAGAGGCGGGAGGATGGATGGAGGTGTCAACGGGAGACTGGGGACACCAGAGGAGGAAGGAGAGGAGGAGGAGGAGGAAGGAAAGAAGAAGGGGAAAGGAAAGGGCTGGGCTGCACACAGAAGAGAAAGGAACCACAGAATGAAGGTAGAATGTTGGGATAGGAGCAACAGGACAGATCGGTCATGCAAAGGAAACTTATACTCGATCCAACCAATAAGCCTTAGCAACGGTGTTTTCCACGAACGAATACATAAATCCTCGGATCCGATCAAATCAACCTATCCATCGAATAGCCTTTTCCACAGTGAAATTCAATAAAAACAGCCCACCCTCAAGTCCGCCACATGATCCATCTATACCTTGTGAGCGTGCAGGCAGCAGGAGGAGCAACAGCAGCAGCAGACGCAGCATCGCTGCTGACCAGAGAGGCAGGCTACAGCCGGAAACATGGTAAGTTCTAAACCGCATCGCACCACCACCCCTGTTCCTGTCTACACTCCGTGACGAAAACGCCATGCGCAGTTGAAGGATCACGACCGCTGCCTGCCTAATAGCAGCAGCCTTGTAGCAGTCTGCCATCAGGCAGAAACAGGCAGGAGCTGCAGCAGCACATACGCCTCAAGCTACTCACACGTGGCTTAAGAACAGCCTCCTGCCACTTCATTCCCAATAACAGCCTACCAGCAGCATATTCACGTCGAGCTGCGAGCACATTACTCCTTCTCCCTGTGAACTCAACGACCGCATTTCCTGGTCGAGCTAAGCTCACGCTTGGCAGGAGAAATGTGCCAGGCTTGGGTGACGTTCCTTTTTGGCTGGTGAACTTGCTCGTTCAGGCAGTGACTTCGATTGGAAACGGCTGGCAGCCGTGTAGCAGAGGGCACGTGCGCTAGTGTCAGTGATACTGGCGAGACGCTTGCTAGTGAGACGGGCTACCGGGTGAAGCGGGTTCAAGAGTAAGCAACTTGAAGTCCCGAAGCACCTCGGCCAGCTGCGTGTGATCCCAACCCAACTGCTCTCGCCTTTGTCAACACCCTTGAGCAAGCTAAGGAGTTGAGGATTGCAGACAAGGGAAGGGGGAGGAACAAGGTTCCAGAGAACGGCATGGTGCCAGCGGTAGGTGGTATTAGGTGGCACCAATGACGGGCGTTGGACTGAACGCAATTCCGTGCGGGTTCCGGCGGTACTCTAATCCTGGATAAGCAACGCTGCAGCAGCGTTGGACGCGACACGTCGGTGGCCATCAGTTGGACGCGATACGTCGGTGGCCCTGGTCCATCATGGAGCAACGCCGAGCTGCTGCAAACGCATCGTCCGAGTCGCCCTGGAGCACCGCTGCGAGCGTTGGTCGCAGGCGGAAACGCCGCGAGAGGCATCGTTGGAGGCAGGGAGGCAGTAGGAGAGACGCTGGCAGGGGCGGCATTGTGCTGGACGGTGCTGGACGGTGCTGGACAAGGTTCCGAGACCGACGACACCCTGGAGTGAATGTAATGCCCAGGGCTATTATAATGGCGGTTACAAGGCTTTTATAATATTCCAATACAAAATAGTAGCTTTAACTAGCCTTAATAGCCTTGGAGATGAAGATCTTCTTGATGCCTTTGATGAAAAGCACTTGGAGTAGTAGTGTAGGGAGACTTGTGAGAGAGCCCAAAAGGACTTAGAGAAACAATCCCATTTCCAATTGTTTTGTTGGAGTGGGAGGTTGAGAATGAGCTTGCTTAGCTCAGACCCCCTCAATACACCCCTTGGGGAACTATCCCAACCATGGTTTCCATGGTGGGATGGTTCCTAGGCTTGGAGCCTATGTGGCAATTGTGTTGGGTTGGAAAACCCAACTTAGAACCATTCAATGGTTGTGTTTAGGATAGAGTAGATTGTAACACTTGTTTGGCAGTTTCTGATTGGTTGGAATTCCAACCTTCAACATTCTCTTGGTTGAGTTGGAAATGTTCCAAACCTCCAAAGTTGAGGCTTGGCAAACCCAAACCAAGTTTCATCCCAACCAACTCAACCATCTTCTCCAACTCTTCCTTTGTCGAGAGAAGTTCTCAACAATTGACTTAGAGAGAGATCGATGGTTGTTAGCTCGGTAGTTAGGGTAATACGTTACACTCCTCCCCCCCCAGGTGGCAACGTCCCCGTTGCCCTAGGGTGCTTCTGAGGACGAGTGCTTCGAGCACGGCGCACCACATTACGACCAGGGTCAACCCCGTCCACTGGTTGTGGGCCTGCTCGTAGAGCCAGGTCTTCCATATACGCTTGAACCGCTGCTTCGGTCAAGTGTTCCTCAGGCTCCCAAGAGTTGTGTTCCGGCCCATAGCCTTTCCACTGAATTAGGAACTCACGAACAGTTTTGCGGCCGCGTTGTCGATCACGGTGCGTTAGCACACGCTCGACTTCGTAAAAGAGTTCCTTCTCGAGAGCGATGGTTGGTGGCGGTAAGTACTTGCCTTCTGCAACGTACTTATTCAACAGAGACACGTGGAAGACGTTGTGAATCTGCAATGTCGCAGGCAATTTGAGCCTATATGCGACCTCACCAACACGCGCAATCACCTCGAAGGGCCCAATCCAACGAGGGAAAAGCTTTCGTGCTCCCGGGATCTTAAGACGAATGTTCTTCGTACTCAGTAATACTTTGTCGCCAACTGCAAAAACGACTTCCCGGCGTTTCATGTCGGCATAGGATTTTTGCCTCTGTTGGGCAAGCTGCAGCCAATGGCGAGCGGACTTCAATGCCGCTTGCTGATTTCCAATAAAGTCCTTTGCGGCAGGGATTTTGAGGTTCTTAATCCCATGCGTCGCGGGGGTTGTGGGGTGCCGACCACAGTTCAGGACAAAGGGTTTCTCATGGGTGCTTTCATGCACAGAATTGTTTACAGCGAATTCCACGACTGGCAACAATTCATCCCAATCGTCCTGAGTTGGGCTTATGAAAGAACGAAGCATTTGCTCAAGAGTGCGGTTGGTCCGCTCTGTCTGTCCATCCGTTTGCGGGTGGAACGCAGACGACATCTTGAGTTTCGTTCCGAGTGTCTTAATGACCTCTTGCCAGAACCGGCTTGTGAAGCGCGGGTCTCGGTCAGACACCATCACACGAGGCAAACCGTGTAAGCGGAAAACGTGTGTCACAAACAACTTTGCCGTATCTTCCGCAGACACGTCAGTCGTCGTGGGCACGAAGTGCACCATTTTGGTCAAGCGATCCACAAACACTAGTATCGCTGTATGACCATCTCGCGTCTTGGGGAGATCGGTGATAAAATCCATCGATACACTCTCCCAAGGTTCATCGGGAATCTCAAGTGGTTGAAGCAGACCACCAGGCTTCTGTGTGCTCGGCTTGTTCCGTGCACACGTGTCACAGCGAGTTACAAACTGCTGGACCTCAATGCCCAATCCCGGCCACCAGTATACATCACTGAGGGCCCACCGGGTTTTCTTGACACCCAGGTGTCCTCCATACTTAGTGGCGTGCACCTCTGCGAGAATATCATTCCGCAGGTTTCCCACATGTGGGACTACAATTTCTTTCTTGTGCCACCGGAGCTCATGCTCCCACAAGAGATTGTTTGTATTCTGTGGGTTCTGAAACCAAGGGTCAATATCATACCCTGCGCGGATGCGTTTCAGAAAACCACCAAAGGCAATCTCGCTCACTCGAGCAGCTGCGAGGATGTTGAAACAAGCAGCAAACACAGCTTCATGTTCCTTATCATCAACACCCGTTGCTGCCCCAATCGGCTGTCTGCTCAGAGGATCAGCCATGTTCGTCGAGCCCGCTCGATATCGAATATCGTAGGTGAACCCACTCAGGAGTTCAGCCCATCGAGCTTGACGGCGGGTGAGTGTGGCTTGAGTGGCAAAATAGGTGTTCGGACAGTGGTCGGTCGTGACCACAAAGTCAACACCTTCGAGATAACATCTCCATGTTCGTAGCGCATGCACAACCGCCAACAATTCTTGTTCGGAAGTTGTATAGCGCTGCTCAGCCGGTGAAAGCTTTCTACTCTCAAATGCCACGGGGCGTCCTTCTTGCAAAAGAACTGCTCCAATCCCTACTGTCGAGGCATCAGTTACCACCTCGTAGGGCTTGGACGGGTCTGGCAAAGCCAGCACTGGAGCATTGGTCAGCATGGTTTTCACCTCCTCAAATGCCTTCTGGCATTGATCGGTCCACTGCCAAGCATTACCCTTACGAGTGAGGGCAGTCAGTGGGGCGACTACGGAGGAATAATTTTCCAAGAAACGGCGAAAATAGTTCGCAAGTCCAAGAAATGATCTGACCTGTCCCACGTCCTGTGGAACGGGCCACTGTTGGACTGCCGCCACTTTCTTTGGATCAACTTTGAGGCCATCGTTGCCTACCAAGTGACCAAGGTATTCCAACTCGCGTTTGTAGAAGTGACACTTCCACAATCGAGCAAAGAATTTATGCTCTCGCAGTTTTCCTAACACCCATTTCAGGTGTTGCGTGTGTTCTTCTTCGGTCTTCGAGTACACGAGGATGTCATCCAAGTATACCAGGACGAATTGGCCGATTGCCTCCCGAAACACATCATTCATTGCTCGCTGAAATGACGCGGGAGCATTCGTCAAGCCAAAGCTTAACACACGCCACTGAAAATGCCCGAACGGCGTTCTGAAAGCCGTTTTTGGAACATCTTCTTCGGTGATTCGTAGCTGATGATACCCCTGAGCTAAGTCCAGCGCACTGAACCACTGAGCTCCCTGGAGCCGATCGAACAGATCCTCAATTCGTGGTAGAGGGTATCTGTTCTTCACCGTAATCTTGTTCAAGGCACGATAATCTACGCACATGCGTAATCCTCCGCCCTTCTTGTTAACGAACAAAATTGGTGCTCCGTAAGGGGATGCACTGGGTTCAATCCATCCT